ACCCGATCGATGGGAGAACCATTCAATTCATAAATATATAGTCCATCTGAAAAAAAAAGGTGTGAGAATTAGAGAAAAACATATATTTAGTATTGCCCACATTAAGTACAACTTTTAAACCAACCAGGGCATTTTGTAAGGCAACAAAGTCAGATTGCAGCTCTAACAACGCCTAGTCAACAGCTGGGGCAATGGCATACATAACAGGATCGTCTGCATACAGCTGAATATCAAAAGTTTGAACAGATAGACCGATATTATTTATATAAATAGTAAAGAGAACAGGTCCGTATTTCATAAACTAAAATGACGTGGCCCAAAACGAGTGCACGGATGGGACAAGTTTAAAACCCGGGTTGTTTTTCATTTTTAAAATTGTTGAGGGGTTTTGTTTGTTTTCGTGTCCAGGAAATAATTTGGGAAGGCCCAAGAAATGGAGTGGCGTTTTTCTAATAAGGGGACTATTTTTAAAGGGGGTTTTTTCGGGTTTTGGGGTTTTTGGGGGGAACCCTTGCTAATCTTGGTTTTTTGTGGTAATCAAATAATTCATCACCTGGCTGTTTTTTTATTGGTGGGGCCGGGCAAAAAACCCAAAATTTGTAACCCGCATGCCGAGAAGCCACGGAGGACCTAAAACAAAATCTTTCAACCTTTCTTCATTGATAAGGAAGGGGGCTTATTTGGGGGGAAACTGGCGAGGAATAACCTAAACAATTGGGGAGCGCCCGTTTTTTTAGGGGGGTAAAAAGTCTTTAGGGCACAGGAAAACCCCCAAAAAAACAAATTTCGCCTTCTGAGGGCATAAAACCCCCCAGGAAATTTGGCCCGCGGGGGTATTGGGGGGCCTGTGAGGGTCCCTTTCTGGCAAATTGGGCCGGGTTCAGTTGGTGCCTCCCCCTCACCAATGTGGTGCCTGTCCCTGGGGCCGAACGGGCTCCCGACAGTGGAGTGCTTACCGGGCGGTCCCGGCATTAAATCAGTGGTTGGCCATCACAAACCCCGTTGCTCGCCCCACCAATCGGTGTTAAAACTGGCCCCGCTCCCGCTCTACTCCCAACAAAAGGCTCATGGCACGGGCCCCTGTTTCCCCGCCCCTTTTGGGGTAATTTTACAGGTAGCTTTCCCCCCACACTGTTTTGGCTTCAATCCCCCCGGGGCCTTTTGCTCGAAGGGAGTGGGATGAAGCCTGGCCCACTCCCACAAAGCAATGTGGCGGTATTGCAGGCTTTTCCCCCTCGGCTTAAGTTTAAGTTTGTGGGACATCCTCTCCCATGTTTCAGTCCAGCTACCCCGGCACCGGAGGAAGGGGGTTTTGGCGTTTAGGAAGGAAATGGGGTAAGCCCAAACCAGAACCGGGGCAAAGGTTAAGGCCAGAGCCCCCTTTTCCTTTTGGGCCCGGGATCCTGGCCCTTTGTTACTTCACACTTGGGAAGGGGAAAAAAGAGAGACGGGTTTTTTCCCCTTTTTGGGTTTCTTTTCTTGGCTTTTCTTTGAGTCACAAGCCTTTTTTACCTGTTTGAATTTTTTGGTGGCTCTATGACCCCCAATTAAGTCCCTATTGGGTGTTTATTTTGAGGTTTTGGGTGTTTTTGGCATTTCCGTAGTTTTTTGTTTTTATTTATTACCCTTTTAAAAAGTCCTTCAGTCCCGGGGCTTCCCCTTTGGAAAGATTGGTGCGCGTTAAGTTAACCATTTTTTTCCCCCCTCCAATATTCAACCCAAAATTTTGGGGGATCACCAACCCTGAGAAGTTTACTTATGCCCTTCCAGGGGACTTGGACTGGGTTTAATGCCCAGAGCCTCCCTGTTTTGCTCTTTTTGAGGCGCGGTCGGGGCTTTAGGGGGGGTACTGTCACACCCTGGCAATGGGACTCTAGTTGTTGAGCCAGGGTGTGTTTGTGGGTGTTTGTTCTATGTGGTGCGTTTTCTATGTGGGGGTTCTGGTTGTTGTTTTCTGGTTTGCCTTAGTGACTCCCACTCAGAGGGCACCGAGGTCAGCTGTTCGTTGGTTGTCTCTGATTGGGAGCCATATTTAAACTGTCTGTTTTTCATTCGGGTTTGTGGGATTTTGTTCGTGTTTGGTTGTGTATTGACCATTGACTGTCACGTCGTTGCTTTGTTGTTTTGATCGGGTGATCATTCTAATAAATAATATGTTCACATTCAACGCTGCGCCTTGGTCCTCCTCCTCATTGGTAGACGATCGTGACAACGAGTTGAGTTTTTACCAAAAAGTTCTATTTTGGTTTCATCTGACCATATGACATTCTCCCAATCCTCTTCTTGCACTCTAGCAAACTTCAGACGTGCCTGGACATGTACTGGCTTAAGCAGGGGGACACGTCTGGCACTGCAGGATTTGATTCCCTGGCGGCGTAGTGTGTTACTGATGGTAGGCTTTGTTACTTTGGTCCCAGCTCTCTGCAGGTCATTCACTAGGTCCCCCCGTGTGGTTCTAGGATTTTTGCTCACCGTTCTTGTGATCATTTTGACCCCACGAGGGGAGATCTTGCGTGGAGCCCCAGATCGAGGGAGATTATCAGTGGTCTTGTATGTCTTCCATTTCCTAATAATTGCTCCCACAGTTGATTTCTTCAAACCAAGCTGCTTACCTATTGCAGATTCAGTCTTTCCAGCCTGGTGCAGGTCTACAATTTTGTTTCTGGTGTCCTTTGACAGCTCTTTGGTCTTGGCCATAGTGGAGTTTGGAGTGTGACTGTTTGAGGTTGTGGACAGGTGTCTTTTATACTGATAACAAGTTCAAACAGGTGCCATTAATACAGGTAACGAGTGGAGGACAGAGGAGCCTCTTAAAGAAGAAGTTACAGGTCTGTGAGAGCCAGAAATCTTGCTTGTTTGTAGGTGACCAAATACTTATTTTCCACCATAATTTGCAAATAAATTCATTAAAAATCCTACAATGTGATTTTCAGGATTTTTTTCTTCTCAATTTGTCTGTCATAGTTGACGTGTACCTATGATGAAAATTACAGGCCTCTCTCATCTTTTTAAGTGGGAGAACTTGCACAATTGGTGGCTGACTAAATACTTTTTTTCCCCACTGTATATAGTCCATCTGAAAGAAAAAGTGCAATACGACCCCTGTGGTACACCTTCGTACATATCGTCTCATACAGCTGAATCAAAAGTTGACGATAGACGTATTATTTATATAAATAGTAAAAAGAAAGGTCCCAATACGACCCCTGTGGTACACCTTTCGTACTATCCAGGAACCTAGACTTGACACCATCAGAAATCCCACATTGTGTCCTGTCTGACAGATCATTCTAAAACCACTTGCAAGAAGCCTGATCCAGGCCTATTTCAGTCAACCTTTGAAGAAGAATGTGATGGTCAACAGTGTCAAAGGACTTGGAAAGGTCTATAAATAAGGCAGCACAATTATTTTCATGATCCAAGCTATTTAACACATAATCTAAAATGAGCGTAGCAGCTGAAACGATGCTACAGTATGACAAGGTCTAAAACCGGATTGGTGCACATTAAGAATTAGAATGAGAAGTTAAATAAGTTCTTAGCTGACAGTTGGCCAGGGAACGTAAAACTTTGGAAAGGCAAGATAATTTGGAGATTGGACAGTATTTATCTAAGTCAGAGGGATCTACTCCTTTATGTAAGGGGAGGACATGTTCCACTTTCCAGATCTTAGGGAAAACACCAGAAACAATTGTCAAATTAAAGACATACTGTAGGTCAGGGATCATCAACTAGATTCAGCCTCGGGCTGATATTTTATTGAGTGGATGGTCGGGGGCCGGAGCATAATTACATATAATTTGTAGACTGCAAATTGACCGCAAGAAGCCCAAACAGATATAATGTTTGACTAAAACAAAATCATTTCAAACCTTGCTTACATTTGTATACGATCACGTTGTGTCTCTCTATTATGTGTGGGAATACTTGGAAACAGATTTCTTAACTTAAAATCACTTGGAGCTGATTTCCTGGTGTTTTTTTTATTGTTTTTTTTACAGTCTTTTATGTCCATCAATGAAAATTCCACACCCCAAAAAAAGTACAAACATTTTCTTTTGCTCAGTACTTAGAGGGGCAAATAAAACCACCCACGGACCAAATTCGGCCCGCGGGCCGTCAGTTGGGGAACCCTGCTGTAGGTCAACTCTTCTGCAATAATTGGCCAGAGAGCTGCAGTATTGGTGAACACTACCATCTACCGGTCATGTTTGGTACTGTCCCTGTCCATGGTGCTGAATCAGGGAAACTCACAGGACAGTGCAGTGTCTTATCCGGAGCGATTTACAGGAGCAATTAGGGTTAAGTGCATTGCTCAAGGGCACATCGACAGATTTTTTACCTAGTTGGCTCGAACCAGCGACCTTTCGGTTACTGGCCCAACGCTCTTAACCGCTGGGCTACCTGCCGCACTAATAGGCTACATAAAGGTCCACTGCTCTCATGAAGGTCCCCTGCTCCCTTTAGGATAATTATACATTGTTTTAGCTATAGCATCACTTCTGTATAATTGAACTACAATTATATACACTTTTTTGTAAATTACTCTAGACTCGATGTGTAAAGCATGTAGATGAATAGACAACTAGGCCTTAACATCTAGGCCTACTATAAGCATGGCGGTATTAGCATTGGCGATATTAGCCAACATATCAAAGGCATATATGTTCAAGATAAGTGACTATCTCTCTCCATGTTTCAGATCAGCATATCCCCTTGGACTACCGGAGGAATTTGTGTTTGCGACAGTTTTACGAATGAACGGCAGTACCATAACCAAGAACTGGAATATTTGGCAAATGCAAGATTTGAAAGGCGAAGAGCAGCTTGCCGTTAGTCTGAACGGAGAATCACTGTCTCTTGAATTCACCTTCACAACATTGAATAAAACACGAGAGACGGCCGTTTTCCCTTTCCTACCGTTCCTCTTCAACTCTCAATGGCACAATATCTTACTGAAAGTCAGCAAGCGTTCTGTTACTCTGTTTGTGAATTGCATTATGGTGGACTCTCAGAACACACCCAAGAGAGGTATAGTCAACCTGGATGGATACACGTTGATTGGAAAGCTGAAGGATAACCCCGTTTTAGCAGTGCCAGTAAGTTTATTGTTTTGTAAACTTGCACTTAGCCTTCTTTCAAAGGCCAGTCCTATGGCAAGTACAAGAGGTCTGGGACTTTAAGGCACAAGAGTTGGTGCGCTTGTCAAGTAACCGCATGCCCACTCCAAATATTCAAACATAATTTTGGGGGCATACACTCTAGCCTACATTGGAGAGTTTTACTGTAAATGACCGACTCCGAGAGTGACTGTTGAGCTGAATGCGGCCTATGTGGAATGCGTGGCGCTCCGCCCTGTCAATTTCTACATATAAGTGGGAATTGTAACACAGAGGTTCTAGTCCAGAAGATGACCCGGCTGCGCCTAGGGAAGGCCAGGAACAGTTTCTATGATGACACCGCAATATTATAGGGAGATGTTTGTAAAAGTCCGCGTAATGTCCCGCGTAATTGCCCTTTGATAATAATTGCCCAAGTGATTTGGGATGTCTTTTTGGAATTCTTTATCATCAGGCCTGTTCACTCTATTCGTGGTCACAATAAAGAGACATTAATAACAATACAGTCATTAGTTATCTTACTCTTAGGGGCAAATTAGTATGATTTGTTGAGAATCAAGCATGTGATGTGCGTAAATTGAGGACTAGGCCTACATAATGGTTTATCAGATTGAGGATTGGTGATGATAACTAGTGATTTAAGGGTCAATATTTTGTCAATTATATTATATATAGGTTGTGAATGTGACGTATGTCAGAGTGATTATTATTTTTGTATTTATTTTTCAGTTTGAGCTCCAGTCGATGCTCATTCATTGTAATGTGAGGCGTCCACAGACCTGCAATGACCTACCAGCCACGACATGGGTAAGAACCATTGACAAAATAGACTGCAACCATGGTCAAATTACCAAACTAAATTATCAAAATACCCAGTACAGAGGCTGGTATTATCTAGTCCAGGCAACCATTGTAAATAAACAACATGAAAAATGAGCACTAAACAGGTGGGTCAATAAATCCCAAGCCATTTAAATCGCCCGCTATTATTTTCATTTCGCCCTCTGTACCCTTAACAACCCCTCCCAGTCTGTTCCCGTGCGCCGCCCGTGAATTCTGCCAATCACTTCCTATAACTAAGCAGGTCATGAATATGCATAAGGCTTTGATGCCTATGGTACCTCTGGAGTTTCAGTTGGTAGAAACGGATTCAGTTGGGTGACTTTTTTGTCGGGGGGTCCGTCAACCCAACTCATCCAAGAAAAAGGAAAACATTTTTACTCTTTCTTGCCGTACGGGAGAGGGAAGAGCAGGAGAACATGGCTCGCGGGCCACTTTTTTGGGTACTTTTGCTGCAGATTGTCGTAATTTGCTCCGCACAAGTAAGTCCTTATCTGTGTACCTCTGCTTTCAGGTTGATGAAACAGAACTGCAGGTGAGTGTATCTACATTATGTTAATTCTCATGGATTTATTGATGTGGAATCAACTAGCAAGAATGTCCAGATCATAGTTGGTCTAGTCATGCAAGTTGAAGTTGTTCTATAGGAAACACTGAAACAAAACAAAGGATGATCATTTCATTTTTCTAACTGGGTCACTGTGACTGAGCATGCAGTATTTATTTACATAATGTACTCAGTGGGTACACACTGGTTGAATTAACGCTGTTTCCACATCATTTCAATGAAATTACGATTAATCAATTATTTTGCTTCCCTATGACAGTTGTGCACCTGTTATTTCTTAAATTAATTATTATTGGCTAAGCCTAAAAGAGACTTCTGCTTCTCCTTCATTTTCAGACATACAGTATGTCCCATGCATACAGATGTATGTTCATTATGTATAGCAATAATATCCATAGCTGATTGCATTGTTTGACCGTCTCTTTGTCCAGAGGGCCTCAGGACCAGTCGGCCCTCCAGGACCCGCAGGTGTCCCAGGAATTGATGGTGTCGCTGTAAGTTCTCTCATCTATTAACTTTCATTATCTTCCGAATGATAAGAGCATTATCACAACTCATGTTCATAATTGAATTGTAAGATGGGACGAGCCCACCTCATGTCACTATCACAATCATCCAACACGTTCATAATTATGCAATTATGTGATTTGTATGGTGGGTGAGCCCAACCCCTTTTACAACCATAATCAACTGCATGCTGAAGAGTTGGAATTAGACCAATTATGTAAAAACACATATGTATACATATGTGAATATATATATTTATCTGTGAATTTCACATGTAGGCCTTTTTCTATTTCAGGGTGAAAGGGGAGAGGACGGAGAGGACGGCCCTGCTGTAAATATCAACTTTTCATTTTTTTTATTTATTATTAACAAAATACTATGTCATTATCATCTAGTAACTATGATGTATTTTACTGTCTGTCTGCTGTTGTTGTTGTATATTGTGGTTTTGTTGTGTTGTTAGGGTCCTGATGGAGATGCAGGTAAACTAGGCTCAGCGGGGTTGCCAGGCGAGCCCGGGGCTGATGTGAGTATCCTATTTCAAATCATTCATCCTCTGCCTTCAATTTCCTGTTTGTCATCATTGGCACCTTTTTGTCATATTTGATGATAGTAATAGTGAACTAGTCATGATGATTGTCCTACTCAGGTTATAGCAGCAGTACAGTAGCTAGGGGCTGGAACTTCTCAATATGTACACCTACTACCCTTAAAAATATGTTGTTGCTTTATCAACGTGTGGAAGTGGTGGTGATGACCCCTTCTTTACCCAAGAGAGGAGCCAATCAATCTTTACACAAGAGAGGAACCAATCAATCTTTACCCAAGAGAGGAGCCAATCAATCTTTACTCAAGAGAGGAGCCAATCAGAGAAAAATGTGAAGAATTCTCAAACAGACCAAAGAAAAGGCTAAGAATCTGACAGTTTCCTTTGTAACACAACAGTCTTTTTGTTCAGGCAGAGAGAAGGACGGCCTGAACTTAATTAACTGTAGCTTCCATCCAAATTGGAGGGGGAAAAGAGGGTTAGGAAAACACTCCTAGGATAGAATAGTTTGTACTAATATCCTAAAGCATACTATCATGTGTACATGGTCCATGTATCACTTTGTACATAGTTTGCATTTCAGTCACAATTATGCTCTAGGTTCACAAAGTGACGGTAATAGGTGTATAGAGTCTGAACAAAGGCATATGGATGAGATATCAAAGTGGATGAGTGTACCAAACATTAGGAACACCTTCCTAATATTGAGTTGCACCCTTCCACTTTTGCCCTCAGAAAAGACTCAATTTGTTGGGGAATGGACTCTACAAGGTATCGAAAGCGTTCCACAGGGATGCTTGCCCATGTTGACTCCAATGCTTCCCACAGTTGTGTCAAGTTGGCTGGATGTCCTTTGGGTGGTGGATCAATCTTGATACACACAGGAAACTGTTGATCGTGAAAAACCCAGCAGCGTTGCAGTTCTTGACACAAACCGGTGCGCCTGGCACCTACTACCATACACTGTTCAAAGGCACTTAAATCTTTTGGCTTGCCCATTCACCCTCTGAATGGCACACATACACGATCCATGTCTCAATTGTCTCAAGGCTTAAAAATCCTTCTTTAACCTGTCTCCTCCCCTTCATCTACACTGATTGAAGTGGATTTAACAAGTGACATCAATAAGGGATCATAGCTTTCACTATAAAGCCTTAGTGATGCAGTACCCAGCAGTGTTTGTGCTGTGGGTGTCTCCAGTCTCCATTCTCCAGTTGAGAATCCTCAGGCTGGTGTGGAATGATACCTGTCAAAAGGGCTTGTTTGAGTTGGACCAGAGGAATGCGGGTTAAAGTTAGGGTTAACCACTCTCCCAGTAAGTTAACTGTCTCAGAGAGATGTCTCAGTTTGTCTCAGATGCTCTGTAGTGTACTAACCGTGGTGTCTGTGGAGATAAATGCCACCATCTATTCAAACTAAACATGATCTATCTTAAATCAATATAATCCAAGGAAGCATTTGTTGAAACTAGTTTTAAATTGTCAACATAAGTCAGAGAAAGGAAAATAGCATGTATTTCAGAGCTTCGCATTTCCGTCAAGCTGGGCTGAAAAGTGCTGGATACCCGTTTTTGCTAATGCACAGTATTTATCGATTCATTAATTGTGGGAGGGTCATCGTTTAGCCCTGCCCACTTACACACACCTACTTCTGAGCTCCTCCCACCCCATTAGCTGTGTGATGTACGCAAACCTTTTTAATGACATCATGTACATACACAGCTGGAATTATTATGAGATTAGGAAGGCTTAAAGCACACTTTAACGTTTGTAGTTGCAAAAACATTTCTTAGAGAAAGGTATTCTGTTATGATTGCTTATGAAAAGGTAGCAACTAACTCTCAAGGCTTTCAAGCGCACAGCAGATCTCCTACTGACATTGGATTACATTTCTGTCTTTGTTGTGATGCATTAGTGAAGTCTGGTCTCTCTCTCCTCTCTTCCTCTCTCTGCAGGGTTTGACTGGCCCTACTGGAGATGAAGGCCCTGATGGTCCCCTTGGACAGAAAGTGAGTAACTAATCACTAATGAGCCCTTTAATGTTTCTGCTTCAGAGACTCTCAGACAGCCTGGTCCCAGATCTGTTGCTGCTGTCTTGCCAACTCCTTTGGTCATTGTCATGCCAGACAGCACAATCAGATCTGGGACCAGGGTAACTCTCAGCCGGGTGACTGAGCCAAGCTGCTGACCGTCCATTCGCCCACTGTGTTGGCAGGCAAGACAGCAGGAATTACAATTACAACCCGTAAAGTAATTCCTCATGACAAATGAGCTTTAATCGCTGATCCCTGATCCCTCCCTGCTGATCCCTGATCCCTCCCTGCCAGAGTTCTGGGTAATCTCTGTGGGGAACCAGGCCCAAGCATCAAGAGTCGTGTTCATTAGGGCACACAAAGAAAAACATTTGAAAATGTTTAGCAACGGAGAACAAAATTAGTGTTTCTTATTGGATGAGTCCACTAATTCCCTCCCTATTTTTCTTCTTCGTTTGGTGCCTAATGAACAGGACCCAAGCCTTGGGGGAACATTTGCTGGGCCAAGTGCACCTTGCATAGCTCAGGCTCTCAGTCACAGGATTAAACTGGAAGAATGTTAATTCAGTCTGTGAAGTCTCTAGTTAAGTTATTACTCAGACGGCTTCATTTATCTAAGAAGGAAATTGGCCAGAATATTCAGTATAAGAGTCAAAAGGATACGGAGTAGGATGCTGTTGGTGTGTGGTTTTGATGAGATGAAAGCATGTCTTTATGGATAAATACTTTGATGTTTTCCACACGCATAGTTTGCTAAGTCTCTAGTTAATGATTTTACTCAGATAGCTTCATTTGTCTTAGAAGGAAAAATACATTGGGGAGACTATTACAGCACAGGAAAACAAAAGATGCAGACTTTTGTTGGTTTGTGTTTGGTGTGTGTTTGGTGTGTGTTTGGTGTGTGTTTGACAATGTCTAAGGATTTAGAAATGTGGCTAGATAATTACAGTATAAGAATACAAGTCATGTGAGAATATATGCAGCAGAGGCTTTTATCCAAAGCAACTTACATTTTTAGTATGTCTATGTGGTCCTGGTGGAAATAGGAAAGGATACTGAATTCTGTTTGTGTGTACATGATGAGCTAAAAACATGTCTTTATGGAGAAAATACTTTTATGTCTTCTATATGCATAGTTTGCTTTGGGTGCTGGATGGGGGATGATTAGCTCACAGTACATATTAGACATTCTCTTTATAGTTGACTCATGTTCTCTGTGTTTTCAAACTGACATGCTATGTTACTTTGTTTTCAGGGTGAACCCGGGAAACCAGGACCTCGTGGATTAGCTGTGAGTTACATTATTCTCTATGAACCACTCATTCATTAGTGGAATCAGTCCATACTGAAGACTCAGAGCCATAGAACATTCTGCTTTCCCACTTCACATGAAACATAGCTTCTAAGGCTTATTGATGAAGCCTTCATAAAAGCCTTTATAGAGCCTATAAAGATGCTATAGTACTTTATGTCACTGGCTCTTCTGGTGTTTCTGTTTTTCTCCATAGGGCGTTGGAGACGATGGACCCCCTGTAAGTATTTTACAGTCTTATTAATTACACATTCACACATGTATTAGACCTTTACAGTACAGTATCTAGTAAAATGTCTGTTAACGTTCACATGAACCATGGTAAGATACCTTGATGCGTTCGGAAGGCAGCTGTGTGGTGTTGAAAATCTTTCAAAACTGTATGAATGATAAATTAGTACAGGTCATCATTTTCACTGAATTACTTGTTTCTCTGGGCAGGGACCCCCAGGGCCAGGAGGCCTTCCGGGTGAATTGGGCAAAGGTGGATCCCCTGTGAGTATCAGTGACTGACCCTCATCACCTAACGATCCTCATGACCTAACGACCCTCATCACCTAACGATCCTCATGACCTAGCGATCCTCATCACCTAACGATCCTCATCACCTAACGACCCTCATCACCTAACGATCCTCATGACCTAACGACCCTCATCACCTAACGATCCTCATCACCTAACGACCCTCATCACCTAACGACCCTCATCACCTAACGATCCTCATGACCTAGCGATCCTCATCACCTAACGATCCTCATCACCTAACGACCCTCATCACCTAACGATCCTCATGACCTAGCGATCCTCATGACCTAACGATCCTCATCACCTAACGATCCTCATCACCTAACGATCCTCATCACCTAACGGTCCTCATCACCTAACGGTCCTCATAACTGAACGATCCTCATGACCTAACGATCCTCATTACCTAACAAGCCGCAGGACATATAGATCCTCAGTCAGGACATGGTGATTCTCTATGTGGACAGTGCTTGAATTGGGCCGGAACACACTGGTGCTGAGTATCTGCACCTTTGTACTTTTTACTGCTTGAGTTCCAGCACCTGAATATAAACAGTACTGGACCCTAAAATGAGTACCAGCTCCTATTTCAGTCCACTTCATGCACTGCATGTAGATCGTTTGGGAGCTGGAGTCTTATGGCCAAATATGTCTGATTGGATGTACTCCACAGGGGGCTGCTGAGGGGAGGACGGCTCATAATAACGGCCGTAACGGAGCGAATGGAATGGCATCAAACACCAGGAAACCATGGAAACCATGTGTTTGATGTATTTGATACCATTCCACTGATTCTGCTCCAGTCATGACCCAATTAAGGTGCCACCAACCTCCTGTGATGTACAGTACCTCCTCCCTCAGGAAGGTCAGTCAAAAGGTGAATGAAATGGACCATACCTGTTTGTTTGATCTGTTTTCTATGTCCGTTACCACAGGGCGCTATGGGAGTGAGAGGACCAACAGGACCTGGTGGATCAGCAGGGCCTAGAGTGAGTAGTGTCACCGTGTTACGTCCCCAGTTGATGATACGTTGACCAGCACATCCAGAGAATGTTGTGAGCTGTTAGTGTGTCATGTTGAACTGGCATCTACTCTTCCTAATCAACTGATTAACAATTCTCAAAATGATGTGTTATTCAGGGTGCAGCAGGGATGCAGGATTTGAGTGCCGAGCTGGTAAGACTTTGTTCCTTCAATACAACTTAGTGCCTGGCATTACACGTATGAGTGATTCTCTGACCTTGTTGATTTATCCTGCTGCTGTTTAGTGCCCTGGTGCCTGTCCACCTGGGACACCTGGTCATCCCGGCCTCCCTGGCATGAAGGTGAGTCAAGGGTCAGGGGTCAGGGGTCAAGGACAGTGCATGCCCTCACTAGCGTACCATATTAAGTTATGTAATGGATAAACGTCCTCAGTGGTATGCTAGTACGGCCATTGGAACGTAGCCAGTGGTGTATTGATAACTTGGTCTCATAAGTCATCATTTATTGTGTTAATGGTAACCATCGCTGGTTCAACCAACGGCCTCACAGAAGTCATTGGTTTAAATCTATTCTATTGTCTTCACAGTTAGTATAATGATAGTCTAACAGTGATATGTGACAGTGATTGGGGAGGATGTTTAAGCTTCATGGTCTTCTGTTTTCTAGGGTCACAAAGGAGTAAAGGGGGAAGGAGGAGAGCCTGGGAAACAAGGACACAAGGTAAGGGGTTACATTTTATACACTTTCAGAGAACTGAACAAAAGCCTACACTACATTCAAATGTCCAGAGAACTAGGCTTAGTCTGTTTCTGGAAATCCAGACCTAGATGTTTCCATGACATAGAATGAGCTTGAAGCTTTGTCGCTGCAGTGGTCTCATCTCTTCATGTGATGCTTCATGAGATCAGCTTTACATCTTGACTGATATTCAGATCAGACATTACGAAATACTATTAAGAAATACTCTCTCTGCTACTTCTCAGCTGTCAGCATCCATCTAATCAGGGTCTGAGATCCATGCAGTCAGGGCCTGATATCCATCCAGTCAAGGTCTGAGATCCATCTAGTCAGGGTCTGAGATCCATCCAGCCAGAGTCTGAGATCCATCTAGTCAGGGTCTGAGATCAATCCAGTCAGGGTCTGAGATCCATCCAGCCAGGGTCTGAGATCCATCCAGTCAGGGTCTGAGATCCATCCAGTCAGGGTCTGAGATCCATCCAGCCAGGGTCTGAGATCCATCCAGTCAGGGTCTGAGATCCATCCAGTCAGGGTCTGAGATCCATCCAGCCAGGGTCTGAGATCCATCCAGCCAGGGTCTGAGATCCATCCAGTCAGGGTCTGAGATCCATCCAGCCAGGGTCTGAGATCCATCCAGCCAGGGTCTGAGATCCATCCAGCCAGGATCTGAGATCCATCCAGTCAGGGTCTGAGATGATATGTTGCCTGAAGGTAACGACACCTCATTCCCTACATAGTGCTCTACTTATGACCCCAGCCCTCTGGGAATAAGGTGTCGTTTGGGACGCAGACCATGTTAGTCATGCAGGGGTTATGGTTGATATGGAATGCCATGCTAACACATCCACATTCAGCCCTGTAATGCTTCCATACATCCATATACATGGGAATCAGTTCAGCTCTATGCCCAAGTCACTTCATCACCTAGTGGCCTATAACGCCATTCACTGTCTAGAGTCAAACATGTATCCATCGACTGTAAATGACTTTCTCCCTGTACATAATTCAGCCATGCTTATTGGCTCTATTGAAGGGTGTCTGGTGTAGTACATGGATGCTTTTCCCTCACAAGTCAAAGGGTGTTGTCTCTGACAGCTGATTGAACTCACAAAAAAATTTTGGGCAGTGGCACATTGGCAGTGTGATCAGCGGTAGAGTCGATTTCATTGAAAAGTGTGTCATGAATCTCTGAGTAAATGAAGCTATAGCAACATTGATTTAAAGTCCATGTGAGTTTTATTGCGGCCATTAATGTTGTTTTGAAACAGCTTCCATTTGAAATCCATCTTTCTATCCTCCTATACCTACTAATGTTTTCTTGTCTCTGTCATACGGTGTTGTTCATCTTCCTGATGTCTTCATGTTACTTCTCTCTCTAGGGTGAAGAAGGTGACCAGGGAACCACAGGGGTCCTCGGATCCCAGGGCCCAAAGGTTTGATTCGTTCATTAACATCCCTTTATTTTAACAGATAATATAACACATTGTCTACAGTGATAATAAGATTGTCATGTGAGAAAGTAACGTTGTCATATAGTGAGTAAATAACATTGTCTAGTGATAATATACAATTGTCTATAGCTGATTATACAGATTGTTCTATGAGAAGATACAGTTGTCTATAGTGATAATATACAGATTTCTATAGTGATATACTACAGATTGTTATTGATAATAACAATTGTCTTAGTGAGAATAACAGTTGTCTATAGTGATATATAAAGATTGTCTATAGTGATAATATACAGATTTCTATAGTGATAATATAACAGATTCATAGTGTATAAATACAAGATTGTCTTAGTGATAATATAACAGATTGTCTATAGATAATATAACAGATTGTCTATAGTGATAATTAACAGATTGTCTATAGTGATAATATAACATTGTCTATAGTGATAAGATAACAGATTGTCTATAGTGAGAATATTACAGTGTCTATAGTGATAATATAACAGATTGTCTATAGTGATAATATACAGATTGTCTATAGTGATAATATAACAGATTGTCTATAGTGATAATATAACAGATTGTCTATAGTGATAATATAACAGATTGTCTATAGTGATAATATAACAGATTGTCTATAGTGAGAAGATAACAGATTGTCTATAGTGAGAATATAACAGATTGTCTATAGTGAAAATATAACAGATTGTCTATAGTGATAATATAACAGATTGTCTATAGTGATACTATAACAGATTGTCTATAGTGATAATATAACAGATTGTCTATAGTGATAATATAACAGATTGTCTATAGTGAGAAGATAACAGATTGTCTATAGTGAGAAGATAACAGATTGTCTATAGTGATAATTTAACAGATTGTCTATAGTGATAATATAACAGATTGTCTATAGTGATAATATACAAGATTGTCTATAGTGATAATTTAACAGATTGTCTATAGTGAGAAGATAACAGATTGTCTATAGTGACAATATAACAGATTGTCTATAGTGATAATTTAACAGATTGTTTATAGTGAGAATATAACAGATTGTCTATAGTGAGAAGATAACAGATTGTCTATAGTGAGAAGATAACAGATTGTCTATAGTGATAATATAACAGATTGTCTATAGTGAGAAGATAACAGATTGTCTATAGTGAGAATATAACAGATTGTCTATAGTGAGAAGATAACAGGTTGTCTATAGTGATAATATAACAGATTGTCTATAGTGATAATATAACAGATTGTCTATAGTGATAATATAACAGATTGTCTATAGTGATAATATAACAGATTGTCTATAGTGAGAAGATAACAGATTGTCTATAGTGAGAAGATAACAGATTGTCTATAGTGATAATATAACAGATTGTCTATAGTGAGAATATAACAGATTGTCTATAGTGAGAAGATAACAGATTGTCTATAGTGAGAAGATAACAGATTGTCTATAGTGATAATATAACAGATTGTCTATAGTGATAATATAACAGATTGTCTATAGTGAGAAGATAACAGATTGTCTATAGTGAGAAGATAACAGATTGTCTATAGTGAGAATATAACAGATTGTCTATAGTGAGAATATAACAGATTGTCTATAGTGAGAATATAACAGATTGTCTATAGTGATAATATAACAGATTGTCTATAGTGAGAATATAACAGATTATCTATAGTGAAAATATAACAGATTGTCTATAGTGATAATATAACAGATTGTCTATAGTGAGAAGATAACAGGTTGTCTATAGTGAGAAGATAACAGATTGTCTATAGTGATAATATAACAGATTGTCTATAGTGAGAAGATAACAGGTTGTCTATAGTGATAATATAACATATTGTCTATAGTGATAATATAACATATTGTCTATTGTGATAATATAACAGATAGTCTATAGTGAGAAGATAACAGATTGTCTATAGTGATAATATAACATATTGTCTATAGTGAGAAGATAACAGATTGTCTATAGTGAGAAGATAACAGATTGTCTATAGTGATAATATAACAGATTGTCTATAGTGAGAATATAACAGATTGTCTATAGTGGTAATATAACAGATTGTCTATAGTGAGAATATAACAGATTGTCTATAGTGGTAATATAACAGATTGTCTAAAGTGATAATATAACAGATTGTCTATAGTGATAATATAACAGATTGTCTATAGTGAGAAGATAACAGATTGTCTATAGTGATAATATAACAGATTGTCTAGTGAGAATATAACAGATTGTCTATAGTGATAATATAACAGATTGTCTATAGTGAGAATATAACAGATTGTCTACAGTGACAGTTAGTGATAGTTTGTCTTTCTGCTGTTGTGTGATTCCAGGGTCCTCAGGGAATCAGAGGCTCCACTGGAATGATGGGGCTCAAAGGTGAACTGGTAAGAGTCACGCATTGAAGTGAATTATATTTCAATCCTGGCTCGCTGAAACATGTTATTTGCGTTGTGTTTCCATCCTTTCTGTCAGCGTAATGCTAATATACCTCTTGTGTTGTGACAGGGAGCACGAGGACATGATGGAGATCCAGGTCCCCAGGGTGTTGCAGGAGCCACTGTAAGTATTCTCCCATAATCCCCTTCTCCTGTTCATTATGATTTCACTAATGTTAGATCTCTGGAAAGGTTTGTTTTTCAGAAATACAACACTGTTTACGTGTCATTATGTATTGTTCTCAATTAACAAAATGATTAAACATCTCTGTAAAAAGGTTTTGTCTTACAATATGTTTACGCTGTATCTTTTTAGGGTGACCAAGGTCAGAGAGGCGTGATGGGCGAGTCTGGTCCTAAAGGTGATGAGGTGGGTATCAGAATACACCTGCCATGGTTTCACATGGCCAAATTGATGCTTGTTTTTAGTCACTGTCTAGGGTGGTGGTGATGGTGTAATACTGATGCCCTGATTGGTTCCTTATCCTATTGTGTTGTTGTCTAGGGATCTCAAGGTGGAAGAGGCATCACAGGTCTTCCTGGGCCCAAGGGAGAGGGTGTAAGTATTACTGTACCTGTACTGCTTTATCTCAACATAAACAATCAGTCTTAGTGGTGGGAAACGTAAGCATATCATGTCTGTTGTGTATTCATAGACTCTTAGAACCATTCATAGAACCATATAACCTTCTTGGAACATTAACACTTGTCATGGAATAATTGTTGTGGTTCTTTTTTCATGTCTAGGGTTTGTCAGGTGTGGATGGCCGTGAAGGTATTCCTGGAATGCCAGGTGGAAAGGTATGGAAATGATCTACTATAAGATGTTTATACGTTTACAACTGTTCATAAATGTTGTGTTGACAGAGGTAATGTTCTAGTTTTGCTGTGTGCTCTCATACGTCTACAGTGATTCTTTTTTGCAGCAATTTCTATTGGGATGGCAATGGAGATCACGGCATCCTGAAAAGTCCACTATAGAATGGGATTCATACTGGTTGAACAGAGGAATCAGCAGGAGTTGTCAAGTCAAGTTAAGGTTACAACTGTGATGTCAACATTTCATCTTAACTCACGTAACTCTCTTTCTCCACAGGGCACCATTGGCAAGGCTGGCTCTCCCGGGGAGGTGGGGCTTCAGGGACTTCCTGTAAGTATGACCTTTGACCTCACACTAACAGGCGTTCTGATTGGTTGCGCCTGTGTAAAACTCCTCAGCCTCCCGTATTCTAATCCTGATGTGAAATAACAACAGTAATAACATGGGATAATTGTTTCTGATTGACCACCACCATTCTGTAGGCTATTTTGTTTTACAAACATTTTAGATTTTCATGTTTTCAACAACATCTTTGAAATGGATAATAAATGGATGATTGTTTCTGTCAAATGTATTCTAGGTATTTACATGATCATTCTTGTTACTGTAGATTGATTTTGTTTGACAATATTGTGTCGCCTCTCTAGGGATTACCTGGTTCTCCTGGCCCGAAAGGAACTGGTGGCGAGAAGGTAGGCGTCATAGAGATCTTATTAAATGAGTATTCTAATTCCTAATTCTATGGTAGGCATCATGATGACATCACAAATCACCCACAATGCACCACTTCTATCAATTAATCTACAGCCAATAGGCATTACTCTGTGCCATAAACTCAAGCCATCTGACAAATAGAGCTAATCTGTGTCACTGAAGAGCTGCAGCTGGATAGCAGCATGGGTACACTGACCTGACAGTTCTGACCCTGACCTGACAGTTCTGACCCTGACCTGACTGTTCTGACACTGTCCTGACCCTGACCTGACTGTCCTGACACTGACCTGACAGTTCTGACCCTGACCTGACTGTTCTGACACTGACCTGACTGTCCTGACACTGACCTGACCTGACTGTCCTGACCCTGACCTGACTGTCCTGACACTGACCTGACTGTCCTGACACTGACCTGACAGTTCTGACCCTGACCTGACTGTTCTGACACTGACCTGACCTGACTGTCCTGACCCTGACCTGACACTGACCTGACTGTCCTGACACTGACCTGACTGTCCTGACTCTGACCTGACTGTTCTGACACTGACCTGACTGTCCTGACCCTGACCTGACTGTCCTGACACTGACCTGACCTGACTGTCCTGACCCTGACCTGACTGACCTGACCCTGACCTGACTGTCCTGACCCTGACCTGACTGTCCTGACACTGACCTGACTGTCCTGACACTGACCTGACTGTCCTGACACTGACCTGACCCTGACCTGACTGTCCTGACCCGACTGTTCTGACCCTGACCTGACTGTTCTGACCCTGACCTGACTGTCCTGACACTGACCTGACCTGACTGTCCTGACACTGACCTGACTGTCCTGACACTGACCTGACTGTCCTGACCCTGACCTGACTGTCCTGACCCTGACCTGACTGTCCTGATCCTGACCTGACTGTCCTGACCCTGACCTGACTGTCCTGATCCTGACCTGACTGTCCTGACCCTGACCTGACTGTCCTGACACTGACCTGACTGTCCTGATCCTGACCTGACTCTGACCTGACTGTCCTGACACTGACTGTCCTGACCCTGACCTGACTGTCCTGACCCTGACTGTCCTGACACTGACCTGACTGTCCTGACTCTGACCTGACTGTCCTGACCCTGACCTGACTGTCCTGACTCTGACCTGACTGTCCTGACCCTGACCTGACTGTCCTGACCCTGACCTGACTGTCCTGATCCTGACCTGACTGTCCTGACCCTGACCTGACTGTCCTGACACTGTCCTGACACTGACCTGACTGTCCTGACACTGTCCTGACTCTGACCTGACTGTCCTGACACTGACACTGATCTGACTGTCCTGACCCTGACCTGACCTGACTTCATCTCAGACACAGGGAACTCAGTTCTGTTAGAGAAGATACTAGAACAAGGAGTGGAAGCAGGGCGGTAGCTCCACCCCACTCTCTCTGCAAGTTTCGGCCAAGTCTATGGGCCAAATGTCCCAAAACAGTAATGAAAAAATCTGCACACCGGAACAAAGTTCCTCGTTAGTCGTGGCATCCCAGTGTGTTGACAGACACTACGATACCATCCTATGGGACGTGTATCTGTCCAAGAGAGATTATGACATAAACTCTGTTTATGTTGCTCTATTTCAGGGTGGCTCTGGAGAGCCAGGTCTTCTTGGAACAATGGGATCTGCTGGTAAAACAGTAAGTCCAAATCAAATCAAAGTTGATTTAAAATACATTTCAAATTGTCTACACAGTAACAAACGGTTCATTGTGATGTCTCTCTGTAGGGAGAGCAAGGAAAAGCAGGAGATCTAGGACCCATTGGACCAATTGGCGGACCAGTGAGTATCCTGTCATTTATTATATTTCCAAGCAGGCAAAGCTGTTTTTATGACGTCATCACAACCATATTACAACTGGTAGGAATTGGGTTGCAGTGATGTCATTGATGTCAATGATGTCATTGCAACCAGTTTTGCCCGCTGGGTTCCATTTTAATGTCCTTTATCGCGCATTATTGTCCAATAAAACAAGCCTTCTCTTCTTCTCTCTTGTAATTTCCTTTGACACTTCTCTAGGGAGACAGAGGAGAACAAGGACCAGCCGGTCCTCCAGGCAAACCAGGAGCCAGGGTGAGTTATTGTTGTTGTTGTTGCTGTCTCGATGCTGTGTGTCTTTGTGCCAGGTATAGTATGAGGATTGATGAATGGAAACATACTTTGTAACAATGACTCAATGATGACAATGTTAGGCTGGAACACCAAGATTATTGAGAGAGAGCGAGAGAGAGAGAGAAAGAGAAAGAGAGAAAGAGAGAGAGAAAGAGAGGAGAGAGAAAGAGAGAGAGAGAAGAGAGAGAAAGAGGGAGAGAGAGAGAAAGAGAGAGAGAGAGAGAGAGAGAGAGAGAGAGAGAGAGGGAGGAGTGTAGACCTAGCTGTGGTTACAGAGAGTGTGGACCTGGCTGTGGTTACAGAGAGTGTGGACCTGGCTGTGGTTACAGAGAGTGTGGACCTGGCTGTGGTTACAGAGAGTGTAGACCTGGCTGTGGTTACAGAGAGTGTGGACCTGGCTGTGGTTACAGAGAGTGTGGACCTGGCTGTGGTTACAGAGAGTGTGGACCTGGCTGTGGTTACAGAGAGTGTAGACCTGGCTGTGGTTACAGAGAGTGTGGACCAGGCTGTGGTTACAGAGAGTGTGGACCTGGCTGTGGTTACAGAGAGTGTGGAACTGGCTGTGGTTACAGAGAGTGTGGACCTGGCTGTGGTTACAGAGAGTGTGGAACTGGCTGTGGTTACAGAGAGTGTGGACCTGGCTGTGGTTACAGAGAGTGTGGACCTGGCTGTGGTTACAGAGAGTGTGGACCTGGCTGTGGTTACAGAGAGTGTGGACCTGGCTGTGGTTACAGAGAGTGTGGACCTGGCTGTGGTTACAGAGAGTGTGGACCTGGCTGTGGTTACAGAGAGTGTGGACCTGGCTGTGGTTACACAGAAACTCTCTAGAGAATAGGCCTGAATGGGATCTCAGGATCTCAGAGGCTATTTTCACAGTAAGGAGAGAATGGTGTCCAGGGCCAGCCGGCTGAAAGAGCCCTCTGTTCCTTTGGCATTCCTCAAACACACACGGTCAGCGATCAAAGGTGTGCCCAGCACACAGAATGAAGAGACACACACACATAAACATACAAAATAAAAAATTGCGGCCAGGTTTTTAGGAATTCTCTTTCTTTTGTGCACATTTTGAGTCACTACCCTGATATATCCGTCTCATGAACAGTTAATTAACCCAGTTTATGTTGTCCTAATGACAGAAGGAAGAAAGGCTCCATACTCTGCTGTCTTATCTTAGGTTTCCAACTACTTTCTGCTGTAGTTTTATATATTTACATACAGTATTCCATTTAGCAGATGCTTTTATTCTTACAGTCATGCGTGCATACATCTTACGTATGGGATGCCCCTGGAATCAAACCCACAATCCTGGCGTTGCAAGCTCCATGCGCTAACCAACTGAGCCATACAGGGCAAACAGTAGTGTGGTGTTGACCTCTGACCTCATTGTTGTCTCTCTACCTTTGTGTTGTAGGGATCTAAAGGGGATCTTGGTCTTCCTGGTGTTCCCGGACCCCCAGGCCTCCCCGGAGTGAAGGGAGAGAGGGTAAGATAAGAGGACGTTCTATTCTGACTGGTATCTATCCCCTCTGTAGAGACCTGCCGTCTGGTGGGGAAACAAACACTGCTGTTATACAAATACTCAAACTACTGCTTACTGGATTTACGCTCTCCGGACCGTTTACTTTCTGCATGCTTGATATTTGATAAGACAGAGAGGAACCTCAACTGATCAGCAATGTGGCTTGTGTTTAGTCATTTCAGGTTCCACAAACGTCTTATGACAATTTCCAATGTTCATGAAACCACCAGTTTTGATTTGACTTTTCACGGTTCTGTACAATTATGAAAAATACATCTATTTGGCCCCCTCTAGTGTTACAAGTTGAAATATGCATTGATAAGACTAGTCTTGCTGCGGTATTACAGTTTTTTACAATCACTTTGGCACTAATTTCAGAACCTTGACGTAATTTTTCAAAACTCTAGACACAAAACTCAAAACGGTAATCACTTGTAACACAGGCTGTCCAATGTTCAAAACATTGCATTGTGCATTCATATCTTTAAAGAAATCTTGCACTTGCACAATCATTGGTTCAAAAAACTAATTTATTGTGAAATACCAATGAAACGTTAATTTAGATCACCCACACACAAGCAACCGATAGTTTCACTGTGTCATTGTTCATACAATCATTAAATATTGTAGTACAAAATAGGTGATACATGTTTCATTATGGTACTACATGTAAATACATCCCTGTAAAAGTACTGCAGTAGTAGAGAGAATACTACAGACAGTGGAATCATTGAACAAAATCTGAAATATATTGATGAAAAACAATACAGTACTGTAAAACATAAAATGCAGTGTTCCTCAACTTGCTTGCTTGTACTGTAAAAAGCAAAACATAGGAGTGATTACTGTACTTCTACATTTTCATCAACTCTGTCTTGTGGATTTGGCCACAGGTTCTCATCTACATCACAATGGATGTTTTCATTAGACAAACATCTTGGAAAAAACCTTCGGACATGGCGAATCCAGGCCTGACACTGGTCTGCCGTGATGTCATTGCATGCGTCATCCATGGCCTGGAGAAGAGTGACTTGTTCATGAGGGCGCCTATCATAAACCTTCCATCTCCATGTGGAGAATAATTCCTCAATCGGGTTAAGGAAAGGAGAGTATGGGGGTAAATACAGGGTGGTAAATTGTGCATGGGCCTGAAACCATGCTTGCACCATATGAGCATGGTGGAACCTGACATTATCCCACACAATGACATAGGTCACGCCATCAGCTCTACAGACCTGATCGAGCTCATCAAGGAAGGTTACAAGGAGAGCTGCATTATATGATCCAATACGAGGTCTGCGTCCCACCACACCATCTTCTGATATAGCCGCACACATTGTAATGTTGGCCCAACGTTGTCCAGGTACTTGGATGGTTGCCCGCTGACCAATGAAATTCCGACCTCTCCTCCTTCTCTTGGCCAGGTTAAAGCCTGCCTCATCCAAATATATGAATTTGTGATGGTTGTCATCAGCATCCAGCTCCATCACCCTCTAAAAATACATTTTGGAAAGAGATTTACTGATTACTCTACAATGTAGAATTATTAGGGATTTTATTACAACAGCCATCTTGAAACTGAACATACCTGAACATACTCAGTCCTCATTTGCTTCACTCTGTCTGCATTTCTTTCAAAAGGCACATGGTATAGTTGTTTTAAAGACACCTGGTGCCTTTTCAGCATGCGTGCAATAGTCAGCAAACTTATGGATTCCACATTGTTAAACATGTCTCCATTGTCCAAGATATGCTGGCAAATTTCTGTAAGGTGAATATCATTTCTGGACCAAACCAAATCGACCACAGCCTGCTCTTGTTGGTCAGTCAGAATTTTGACTCTGCCTCCCCTATTTGGCCTAGTCTCAATTCTACAGGGAACATTACAGTAAGAAGACACTTGGTCACATCACCTACTCTGTGATACACATTGGTATGCAGTCATTTGACAATTGAGAGTAGCATAATGTTTAGTGCATGCTGACGACTTACCGATTCTCATTGCGGAAAGTTCTGATTATTGCGCTAACGGTTGACCTTCTGAGGTTTGGTTGTATCATTGTAGCCACCTCAGTCATTGTCATGCCATGATTTATGACATGGTCTACAACTATTGCTCGGATTTCATTGGACACTCTTTGCTGTTGCTGTCTTGGTCCGTGGCCTTGTCCTCTACCACGTTCCCCCAAACCTCTCAAACAAGGCCCACGACCACCTCTCAGAAGGGGTGCTTGTCCCCTGCCATTCCTTTGACCAACACATCTTCCTCGTCTTCCTCCCACCACTGCTTGACCTCTATTGTGACCTGGATCACCTGCCGGCTCCATGTTACAGTACATATCGCTATGTTGTTGCAAGTGGATCCCAATCAATTCTTTATATACTCGTTCCACAATGTGAACTCAATCATCAGTAACGAGTTGGCAGAACTGGACAAGTAATTACAAGGGCCTGCATCCATACAGTGCAGTACTGTCAATACTGTAAATAGTCTGAAAAGGTGGTACATGGGACCATAGAAACGGTGTCTGATAAAGAATGATGATGAAATATTACATCCATAGATAATGTAGTCTAATTGGTTCATGCTCCACGCTAATTGGTGACAATGAATCTCGTTATCTTGAAACTTTCATGATCTGAACATGGAATATTGTTTGTCTGCTTCCATACAACTATGCATTAAGAGTAATGCAACAGTTACTTATCATTTTGAACAGTTCTATCAATTGATAGTTGGATAATTGTAATGAAATGAATAGACACTCATCTGAAATGTAATGTGTGAATTGCCTTTTTAAATAGTAGTACTTTGATGTTAAGTTGTGTCATATTGAACAGGTGATTTTTGTTAAATGAACAAATGATCTTAGTTTTATGTGTATTGTATCCAAGCAATTGAAAAATGTTCATTTTGATCATTGGTTGTGAGTAGTATAACTAGTGCTGTTGTTTAACTGTCTAACTGTACAACTTGCTATAGTAGTATAACTAGTGCTGTTGTTTAACTGTATAACTGTACAGTATAACTTGCTATAGTAGTATAACTAGTGCTGTTGTTTAACTGTACTGTATAACTTGCTATAGTAGTATAACTAGTGCTGTTGTTTAACTGTACTGTATAACTTGTGCTATAGTAGTATAACTAGTGCTGTTTAACTGTATAACTGTACTGTATAACTTGTGCTATAGTAGTATAACTAGTGCTGTTGCTTAACTGTATAACTGTACTGTAGTTAAACGATTTTCAATACTGAACTGATTTTTCCTCAACTTCAGGGAGAAGCTGGCGAGGGAGGACCTAAAGGGGAGCAGGTAAGAATTCCACGTTTGAAACCGTCTGTTTATCTCTCTCAACGATATTTGTCTGTATCTTAAAGTCAATTTGATAATCCACCAGATAATTCAAGTTTCATTAGTCGTATGTACGGGAGACACATGGTATATACCATCCAACCAAATGCTTACTTGCAGATTCCTTCTGGACAATGCAACAACAATAAGCAATAATAAAAGATAAGAATAGGAACATAAAGTAAATGTCTCAGTAGAATAGAATATACATGTTAGCATCAGTAGAATACAGGAAGGAACAATTTATAGTCCAATATTTACATGTGTTTTAGGAAAGGAGGGATTAGGGGGCAAGTGTTTAAATTGTGCAGTATTTAGCAATCATAGTAATAGTCTGGTAGCAGCCGTTGTGGTGTGTGTGTGTGTGTGCGTGTTTGTTTGTGTGTGTGTGTTCCTAACTTACCCAGGGCATTTTTATATCCAGAAGAGTGAGTTTACCCCAAATCATTTATATTTGTTTGTTTTCTATTTGTGTGTGTGTGTGTGTGTGTGTGTGTAGGGAGAACAAGGTTCTGAGGGAACCTCTGGAGACAAAGGAGATGTTGTAAGTTATCACTCAAGCAAGGATTCATTGCAAACAACCTGACCTCACATTCGAGCCTTTTAAACAACACTTTTTCAACTCCACCTGTACTAATCATCTGGGTTTTTCTCATTTGATTAATAGGGCGACCAAGGGGAAGCTGGACCCAAAGGAGCGGTGAGTTCTGACTACTTTTCTAGAAGCAGTTCCATGTCTCAAACGAGGAATATACCTACAGTTGAAGTCTGAAGTTTACATACACTTAGGTTGGAGTCATTAAAACTCGTTTGAATGTCGGTTAGGACATCTACTTTGTGCATGACACAAGTAATTTTTTCAACAATTGTTTACAGACAGATTATTTCACTTATAATTCACTGTATCACAATTCCAGTGGGTCAGAAGTTTACAACACTAAGTTGACTGTGCCTTTAAACAGCTTGGAAAATTCCAGAAAATTATGTAATGGCTTTAGAAGCTTCTGATAGGCTAATTGACATCATTTGAGTCAATTAGAGGTGTACCTGTGGATGTATTTCAAGGCCTACCTTCAAACTCAGTGCCTCTTTGCTTGACATCATGGGAAAATCAAAAGAAATCAGCCAAGACCTCAGAAAAAACATTGTAGACCTCCACAAGTCTGGTTCATCCTTGGGAGCAATTTCCAAACGCCTGAAGGTACCACGTTCATCTGTACAAACAATAGTACTTAAGTATAAACACCATGGGACCACGCAGCCGTCATACAGCTCAGGAAGGAGACGTGTTCTGTCTCCTAGAGATGAACGTACTTTGGTGCGAAAAGTGCAAATCAATCCCAGAACAACAGCAAAGGACCTTGTGAAGATGCTGGAGGAAACAGGTACAAAGTATCTATATCCACAGTAGAACAAGTCCTATATCGACATCACCTGAAAGGCCGCTCAGCAAGGAAGAAGCCACTGCTCCAAAACCGCTATAAAAAAGCCAGACTACAGTTTGCAACTTCACATGGGGACAAAGATCGTACTTTTTGGAGAAATGTCCTCTGGTCTGATGAAACAAAAATAGAACTGTTTGGCCATAATGACCATCGTTATGTTTGTAGGAAAAAGGGGGACGCTTGCAAGCCGAAGAACACCATCTCAACCGTGAAGCACAGGGGTGGCAGCATCATGCTGTGGGGGTGCTTTGCTGCAGGAGGGACTGGTGCACTTCACAAAATAGATGGCATCATGAGGAAGGAAAATTATGTGTATATATTGAAGCAACATCAAGACATCAGTCAGGAAGTTAAAGCTTGGTCGCAAATGGGTCTTCCAAATGGACAATGACCCCAAGCATACTTCCAAAGTATTGGCAAAATGGCTTAAGGACAACAAAGTCAAGGTATTGGAGTGGCCATCACAAAGCCCTGACCTCAATCCTATAGAAAGTTTGTTGGCAGAACTGAAAAAGTGTGTGTATTCTGCCCTGGAATTGCGTTCCCGTGCAAAACTAGACAGATAGCTAACAACTGAGTCTTCAATAAAACTTCCAAGGCGTGACTTTTCTTGAACGAATGTATTGAAAACGTTTATGTTGTGAAACTGCAAAATACAGAAAATAATATACTTTAGTATCCAATTCACATTGACATAGTGTAGCTGTACATTATACATTTCAAGTTGAAGTTGCATAAATACAAAGCACGTGCCAAGGTACCATGTATCTGACATGACGACAAACCAAATAGATAATTACCATGTGAGTAACAACTAGCCAACTCCTTTCATTACTCTAATAATGTACAAACACCTCTGTACAATAACAAAGCATATTACACTAGAAACAGTAACAAACTATAGTATGTTTCACACTTCTTTTACATGACGCACGAGCAAACTAATACAGCTGACGGCATCCATGAAAGTCAATGCAATTTGCGTGAGTAAATGTAACCAACTAACATTGATAAGTAAGCCATTCTATCAATAACAATATTATCATCACTAGCAATATGCTTGAATTGAACTTACAAACAAATATTTTCCGAGGCTGAAGCGTGACAAGAAATAGTTGCACAGAAAGAACTGTAGCGTTGTTTCTAGCTGCTTGTCTGCGTGCAGAATGACTACTCTACTTCCGGTTTTTGTACATTCTTCTAAGTACCATAAAGCTCCACTAGGGGGCGATAAACACCATGGAACACAATGAAAGTCACTCTTAACCACTATAATAAAATAATCTGTTACCTTCTAACAGGGTGGCAGCACAGTGTGTGAGCAAGGAGGCCTACAAACCTGACTCAGTTACACCAGCTCTGTCAGGAGGAATGGGCCAAAATTCACCCAACTTATTGTGGGAAGCTTGTAGCAGGCTACCCGAAATGTTTGACCCAAGTTAAACAATTTAAAGGCAATGCTAGCAAATACTAATTGAGTGTATGTAAACTTCTGACCCACTGGGAATGTGATGAAATAAATAAAAGCTGAAATAAATCATTCTCTCTAATATTATTCTGACATTTCACATTCTTAAAATAAAGTGGTGATCCTAACTGACATAAGACAGGGAAGTTTTACTAGGATTAAATGTCAGGAATTGTGAAAAACTGAGTTGAAATGTATTTGGCTAAGGTGTATGTAAACTTCCGACTTCAACTGTAACTTTGAGACAGTTCATCTACTCCCATAGAGTGTGTTAGTTGTAGTGCTGAGCGATTAACCAACATTTGGGTTATTTTTCGGTTTTTAAACAACTAATTGACTGACGTTGGTTAAATCATTTGAATTCAATTTTTTTTTCGTTTTCTGTCTGTGAGCTCGATGTGCAGATTCTGTAGAGATAAATCAGATGAAGCCTGAACTGTGCGATGTGGTAGGGCGTTGTAGTTTCTAACAGGCCAATATTCTACATAGTTTAGCGCCGAAAACATGGTAATTAACTACAATGACCATAATCCATTGCGCTCGCTTAAACTTGTCCAGTCTGTGCGGAGCAGACACGGAGAGAAGAGCGATTGAGTGGAATAGAAAGCAGTTGCTTCGCGAGCCTCAAAATACATGATTTAAGTGATTTATAGTTGGTATTCAGCAGTCATAAAAGTCTACCTTATTTACTTTGAAGAACTACTAAAATAGTGATTTAGTCAGACAGCATAGGCAGCTGTTCTATAGAGATGAGATGACTTGGAATTAAATAATAAAGTAATCAAATAAAACTAATCTTTTATTAAAGTAAAGTAATGTGAATAAATGATGGTTAATAAGTGATAAGCAGTAATGGTCAGTCACTACCATCATGGGACTTTTATTAATTGTTTTATTCAGTGTTGTTACAGCATTCAACCCACATAATGCATAGTGCATTTAATGTAAAGAAAAAAATCAATTGAACCGAAACCGAACCGACCTCAAAAAGCACTAATCGCTCAGCACTACTGCAACTTCAGCATTGAACCTGTAGATATATCGGACTTTGCTTCAGATAAAGCCAATCCATATTCTGCAACATAATCAAGTTGGGTAGAAACTCAGAAGTCTTCATTGAGCGTGCTCAGTACCACCCATGTAATGTTGTTCTGATCCAGTGGTCTCTCCCCTCTCTGTCTCCAGGTTGGAAACCCAGGAGAGCCTGGTAACAGAGGACCAGAGGGTAGCAGAGGGCAGCCTGGCATCGAGGGCCCAGCTGGTTCACCTGGACCACGTGGCATGCAGGGAAACAGGGGCTCACCAGGAATCAGGGGGTCACAGGGACCAGCGGTAGGTACCCCCAAACCACCTCCACGCAAAACTTTGAAGACTATACACCTGAACTTACTTACTTACTTACTTACTTACTTACATAATATCTTACTTGCTTACTTACATACTTACCTACTTACTTACTAACTTACTTATTAACTTACTTAATTACTTACGAACTTACTTGCTTAATAACTTAGTTACTTACTAATTTACGTAATGACTTATATACTTAATTAATTACTTACATACTTACTTAATTACTTACGTACTCACATAGTTACTTACATACTTACCTACTTGCTTACTTACAACTTACTTACTTAATTATCTACTTACATACTAACTTACTAACATACTTACTTATGGACTTACTTACTAACTCACACAAGTACCTACATACTTACTTACTTACATACTAACTTACTTACTAACTTAATTACTTACGTACCCACATACTTACTTACTCACATACTCACATACTTGCTTACTAACTTACTTGATTGCTTATTAATATACTTACTTACTAACTTACTTAGTTGCTTACATACATGCTTACTTACATGCTTACTAACTAACTAACTTGCTTACTTATACACCTACATACTTACATACATACCTACCTACTTATTTACATGCTTACTTACTCATTTACTTTCATACTTACTAACAAATTCAGTTACTAACTTACATACCTACCTACTTATTTACATGCTTACTTACTCATTTACTTTCATACTTACTAACAAATTCAGTTACTAACTTACATACCTACCTACTTATTTACATGCTTACTTACTCATTTACTTTCATACTTACTAACAAATTCAGTTACTAACTTACATACTTACCTACTTATTTACATGCTTACTTACTCATTTACTTTCATACTTACTAACAAATTCAGTTACTAACTTACATACTTACCTACTTATTTACATGCTTACTTACTCATTTACTTTCATACTTACTAACAAATTCAGTTACTAACTTACATACTTACCTACTTATTTACATGCTTACTTACTCATTTACTTTCATACTTACTAACAAATTCAGTTACTAACTTACATACTTACCTACTAACTTACATACTTACTTACCTATTTACCTCCTTTCTTACATACATACTTACTTACTTCTAGGCCTTTCCCTCCTCCCGGACCATAGGCCATTGACAACAGTTGTCCAGTGTATCCGGCATAACACAATTAGGGCTTACAAAATGCATCCGAGAAGCTAAATCTATGTGTATAAAAGCTGTTTTCTCATCATAAACCTTTTTTATGTTATCCTTCAGGGTAAAGAACCAAGCGATCAACACATCAGACAAGTCTGCATGAGAGTTATGCAAGGTGCGAATATCACAAGGAAGTTGTTTTCACACTGTCTGCTTCATTCCTTCTGTGTCTTTTAAATCAATGTATCTCACTCTACCTTTAAGCATCAACACTCTGTAATATCCCCACCCTCATTGGGTATCAGGGGTATTCAACTCTGACCCTACGAGGTCCGGAGCCTGCTGGTTTTCTGTCCTACCTAATAAATAATTGCACACAGCTGGTGACCCAGGTCTAAATCAGTCCCCGATTAGAGGGGAACAATGAAAAAAGGCAGTGGAACTGGCTTTGATGTCCAGAGTTGAGTTTGAGGGCTTATAGTCTATCTGGCTTGGCGGTTTCAAGTCGAGTTTGAAGAGAGGGGAGCAGAAAAGAACCCATCATAAATACGCTTCAACCTTTGTTAGTTTGATGGATAACAGACTCCTGAACCCCAGCAATGCAGAAGATGCAGGCTGTTTTTTGGTCTCTCTCCCTGGGCCCTCCTCTTACTGTCTCCCACCCCCCTCCTCCCACTACCACTACTCTCCTCCTAAACTCAGGACTTTTTTATACCCAATGTGCTGAAAAATATATTTCACCTCCAGAGGACCTGCACTTTTGCTAAAAGCAGAAAAGCAAAGAGTCTGGGACAAGAGAGAAAGCCTCTACAGATGAATTGTCATCAGGGGGGCTGAAAACTGGAATTTGAAGTGTAAAATACCATAGCCAAAAGCCTTAGGAGTTTTGTGTTGAACTCTTGGCACCATAAATATACATATCTATTTTTCTATTTAAAGTTTGCAATAAGTATTTGCAGTCTGCTCAATTTACTGAGGCAGACTTGAAGGTGTAAGACTAGAAGAGAGGAATAACATTTTAATAACATTTATAAAAAGGCCTTCATTAAAGATCCAATGCAGCCGTTTTTATCTCAATATCAAATCATTTCTGGGAAAACAATTGAGTACCTTACTGTGATTGTTGTAAATGTAAATGGTCAAAAAGAAACAAAAATAGCTATTTAGCAAAGAGATATTTCTCAAGCAAGAATTATGCTAGAACTGTCTGGAAGTGGTCTGAGTGGCAAGGGTAAAACTGAAAACTAGCTGTTATTGGCAGAGAGGTTTGGAACTCTCTTTCTTATTGGTCTATGAACTAATTTACCACCTGGTGATGTCACCAGGCAGGCCAAAACTCCATCCCACCAAAACAGGTAGAAATTTCAGACGGCCTTTTCAAACAGCTCCTACACTAAAAGGGCATTATAATAATTTTCACAATTTCACAGTATTATTCCAACATCAAAGTGTGGAAATATATATAAAACACAGGAAAATCAAATTTTGGACTGCACTGGGCCTTTAATACATTTGATTGATTAATTGTTTGCTCATCATTCCCTTTCCTCCTTGTTCCAACAGAGCAGCTAGCCCAGTTGGCTGCCAGTCTAAGGAGGCCGGAGTCTGGAGCAGCGGGGCTGCCTGGTAAGCCAGGGCTCCCTGGTCCTGCCGGTCCCCCAGGGGACAGTGGCTTCCCTGGGCAGGCTGGAGCAAGAGGACTGCCTGGCCTCAAAGGACCTCCAGGACTCCTGGGACTCAAAGGTCCCAAAGGTGGGGAGAGGATGTGTAATGTTACTGTTATGTGAAAATGTGAAAGCAAAATTCAGCTCATGTACACAAAGGAGTTTTGTAATAACTCTTGCAATCAACATCCTGTGTGTGGCGCAGGTGAAATGGGCGACAGAGGAGACCGAGGTCCCACGGTGCGAGGGGCCAAGGGCCAGCCAGGACCTCCCGGTCTACCAGGTGAATGAGATTGACCTCGATCTCCAAGGAGAAGCAAACCATCAGTAGCTTACTTGTTCTTTATGTTCTAGTCTTGGTCTTGGAGGTTCTAGATGTTCTAGTCTTGGTCTTGGAGGTTGTAGATGTTCTAGTCTTGGTATTGGAGGTTGAACATCTACAACCTCCAAGACCAAGACTTGAACATCTAGAACCTACAAGACCAAGAATAGAACATCTACTAGTCTTGGTCTTGGAGGTTGTAGATGTTCTAGTCTTGGTCTTGTAGGTTGTAGATATTCTAGTCTTGAGGTGCGTTGAACAAGGGAAATAGTTTGCGAACGTTGGCTAACGTTAGCTAACATATTGTATTCCATTTGTTTTGTGTTTTGCCGCGACCATTTGCTATCCTTAGCAAAAGTGTCTGTTTTGGGTCTAAACTGCTGCTAAAAAGAATCAAGTGGCCATGTAGACTTTCTAAAGTCATTTTCAGTTTGAATATTGTTGCTAAAAAGTCACAGTAATCCTTAAAAAAGAAAAGTAGCCGTTTGATGTTTCACCATAACATTTTGGAATGTTCATTCAACTGAAATTGTTACTCTGGCAACATGTTCGCCACAAACAGCAGCCTTATTGAACTCGCATTTGGTCTTAGAGGTTCTAGAATGTTCTAGTCTTGAGTCTTTTAAGGTTTTCAGTGTTCTAGTCTTAAGTCTTTGAGGTTATGGACGTTCTACTTTGGTCTAAGATGGTCTAGCTAACTCTTCTCTAACTCTAACTCTTCTCCCTCCACAGGTGAGCCCGGAAAGCCCGGTTACGGCCAGGAGGGACGTGACGGTGAGAGAGGACCTCCAGGTGTTCCTGGCCAGGCTGGTGTACCTGGGCCTCCTGGTAATGCTGGCCCCAACGGCTACTGCGACCCGTCGTCCTGCAACCTCAGACCGGGGGACATTGACACCAGCATCAAGGGCCCGGAGGGAACTAGAAACTAGAGCCACCACCCAGTGGAGGCTGGTGTCACTTTAAATCTGAGGACTGGATGTAATGGCTGTAATGAAATAAATGGAACAGTATCAAACACCTTTGATTCTGTTCCATTTATTCCATTACAGCCATCACTATGACCCATCCTCCCTTCACCAGCTTCCACTGCCCAACACCAAGAGAGGGGTAGAGACAGAGACAGAGACTAAGATGGTAGATGGACAGGTCTCCCACACCAACCCGGGGAGCACACAACATTCTCACAGCCTCTCTACTCTAAAGGTTGTCGTTGTAAAGTGGTCCATTCTATCGTATCTGCAGTGTTTTGTGAGAATGTTCTGTGCTATCCAGATCTCTATCGGATATGAAGGAGTCTTCCACTTCCAGAAATGCGAAACAAAATGAAGTATTTTGTTGCAAAATAATAATAATCCTGAACCTGTTTGGATGTGTAACAGTTTTTTTACCTGACAGTTTTTCTTTTTTTCTTTAGCTGTTTTCAGAAATGTTTAAGATATGAACATTTTGAAGACAATACATTTTTGTTTTTATTCCACTGTCCCTGTAAACCTAGATGTCCTTAATAACCACCAGACCATCCACCTGTCCTTAATAACCACCAGACAAAACACCTGTCCTTAATAACCACCAGACCATCTACCTGTCCTTAATAACCATCAGACCATCCACCTGTCCTTAATAACCACCAGACCATCTACCTGTCCTTAATAACCATCAGACCATCCACCTGTCCTTAATAACCACCAGACTAACCACCTGTCCTTAATAACCACCAGACAAACCACCTGTCCTTAATAACCACCAGTCAAACACCTGTCCTTAATAACCACCTGACAAACACCTGTCCTTATTAACCACCAGTCAAACCACCTGTCCTTAATAACCACCTGACAAACCACCTGTCCTAAATAACCACCTGACAAACCACCTGTCCTTAATAACCACCAGTCAAAAGACCTGTCCTTAATAACCACCTGACAAACCACCTGTCCTTATTAACCACCAGTCAAACCACCTGTCCTTAATAACCACCTGACAAACCACCTGTCCTTAATAACCACCAGACAAACCACCTGTCCTTAATAACCACCAGTCAAACACCTGTCCTTAATAACCACCTGACAAACACCTGTCCTTATTAACCACCAGTCAAACCACCTGTCCTTAATAACCACCTGACAAACCACCTGTCCTAAATAACCACCTGACAAACCACCTGTCCTTAATAACCACCAGTCAAAAGACCTGTCCTTAATAACCACCTGACAAACCACCTGTCCTTATTAACCACCAGTCAAACCACCTGTCCTTAATAACCACCTGACAAACCACCTGTCTTAAATAACCACCTGACAAACCACCTGTCCTGAATAACCACCAGTCAAAAGACCTGTCCTTAATAACCACCTGGCTGAATGTTCCCTTTCCTCCTTTCCTCTCACTGAAGCAGCTGTAGTCGACATGTTGATTTCAGCAGCGGCCCCGTCCACATCAACATCAAATCACACTAACCCTTCCCCAATAAAGGCAAATCATAAAGCAATACCAGGATTGCCTATAGCCCAAAGTGTCTTTTTTATTTCTAATGTACTGCATCATGTTCTATATTGAAATATCATAAACCAAAGATAAACCTTCTGAAAAACAGTGCTGTCAGTTTGTACAGAAAGTGACTGCTGCATTTCCAACCCCCTGCTTTCCTTCCTAAATACAGGGATGGAAAGCAGATTAAACTGACTGACCTTCCATGTATGCTGTAAATCTCTGTAAATTGTTTTGAATTGTGGTTAATTATATTTCCTACAAAATAACTATCCTAATGATTGAATGTGAGGTTTGTTCTCATTGTACAGTGTGAGGAGGATTCTGAGAGATTATTATTTTGAATAGAAACTGAGTATTCCCTTCACAATATTCTGTTCACTGTTGAGTAGTATGTCACCCATAGAAATGAAGTAACTAGAATGGCAATTCCAAAATGATTCTATTTCTGTGTGTAATCCTCACAGGGTTTGGAGAGATGGAGAAAAATAACTCAGTTGTTTCTATTTATTATATGATGATGATGATGATACTATTTGAGGGTGACATCACAGTTTGTACAAATATCTAGGAGGAGGATCTAGACATTTCAAATAAATTCTCAAATGTTTTTTTTTTTTCTATGAATTTGTTCACTCCAAATAAAGCAATGTCGCGGTCGGTTTTAAAATATATTTCCAACTCTCTGGACATTTTTTAAACATTATACTCAAATGTACTGCAGGACTACTCAGAATAAGTTGTCTATATATATTTTTTGCAATACCTTCTCAGAAAACATAACCTTGATGAAGTGAATATAACATGAAAAATGCTCTTAAAAAGCTCTTGAAACTGTTTATTGACATAAATAATATACAATCTGGTATTCAAAACATAGTTTCATATAATGCAAATATGTGACAGTTAATTAAGGAATTGACCATGCATAGACATATTCAGTAAATTCTACCTTTCTAGAAATAATGATGATAAAAATCACCAATGCTACTTTTCTCCATCCCTGTATCGATAATGCATAAGGAGCACCAAGAAAGCAAATATTTTAATTTAGAAACTTCACATCAGCAAGATATTGTATTCTATTCACATTTTGATAGTGACACACCAATGTGTAATCTGAGTAGGTCAATATAAGCAAATAAAACACATGAAATGTAAGAAATTATTGTTGTACAGATTTAAGGCAGGTAACGGTAATCAGAGTGTAAAATCAACATTGTTTTTACAGAATGCTGTAAAGTCAAAATAATTGTTGGAAAATATTACACTTCAGACATATTCAACTTGTTGTACAACCTCTGCTATATGGTCAAAGAGTGGATTAACACCTTCTAAGTATAGGCTTTCAAAAACGATCGACAAAAGATGACTAGCTTCTTTTCAAGGACTGTTTGTCACCAACGTTCTATCCATTCCATTTAGCATGTTAGTCTTGAGGTAAGTTTCAGCTGTTAGCTTTATAGTAGCGGTGTAGTGGGATAGTGGGAAGGCTAGAGTGTAACATCACGGTGACTAAACTAATACGTGTACAGTACAGCTGATTGTTAAGCCTCAGATGAGGTAGACCATCAAATTCAAATAACAATTATCACACTCAAAACACAAATAACAAAGTACATAAATTATAAAGATAATGAGATTAAACACACTGTTAAGAGAAAATACTAAATACATGGAGAGGTCTTCTTATCCACAAAGTGTTGACTGACAAGTTTAGAAGATCATCAAGAGGATAGAACAGTGAAAAATAATCGGTTGTTGAGTTGAACAAACTTCTCTGTATGAAGCTAGCTTAAACTGGACAGTGTTTGTACAGTGTCCATATTAGGACAGACACACCTCCTGACGAGACTGGCACACCTTCTGACGAGACTGGCACACCTCCTGACGAGACTGGCACACCTCCTGACGAGACTGGCACACCTCCTGACGAGACTGGCACACCTCCTGACGAGACTGAGGCTGTCCTAATATGGACACCGTAAAGGTGTTTTCCCGAAGGCAACAAGGTTAGGTAGCAGGGTTGGGGCTAATCCCATTTAAATTCACCCAGTTCAGGAAGTAAACAAATTCAATTTCTTGTCATTGAAATCCATTTCAGTTTACTTCCTGAAATGAGAGCATTGTCATGGAATTGAGCCCAACCCAGGTAGGTAGTGCTAGTAGAGCTGTTCTGTTACCATCCCTTTCACAAGCCCTGCTACACATCAGCAGCCATGGTAACTAAAACCCCTTGCTTTACTACTATGGTATGGACAGATTATTCACTATCGTTCAGGGAATGCCATGGACAAATAGCAGAGGAAAACAGAGAATAGATCAGGTGAACCTATAGGTGAACCCATAGTGAAGCAGACAATGAGGTGAACCTATAGGTGAACCCATAGTGAAGCAGACAATGAGGTGAACCTATAGATGAACCCATAGTGAAGCAGACAATCAGGTGAACCTAGAATTCATGGTAACCTTTCAGAGCATAAATGGACTTGTATTTACACTGGAAGCTGCTTTTAAAGTGTACAACAATTGACTGATATTTCAGCTTGAATACGAAGGCAGTCATCTTGGATGTTACCAGAGGAAAAACAACATTCACGACCATGTCTTGACCTATCTACTTCAATGGGTAAACATTGAAGCTGATTTCTTTTTAAGTTGACAACATCTATTACCACATGCTTCCGCAACTCAACATAACAAGAGTAAAAACAACATTCATGACCATGACTTAAAGGCCCACTGTAGTCAAAAACATGATTTACCTGTGTTTTATATATATTTCCACACTATGAGGATGGAATAATACAGTGAAATTGTAAAAATAATGGTCATGCCCTTTTAGTGTAAGAGCTGTTTGAAAAGACCACCTGAAATTTCAGCCTGTTTTAGTGGGATGGAGTTTTGGCCTGCCTGGTGACATCACCACTCCCAGACAGTCCAAGCAAAATTCTTGCTTGAGAAATGACTCTTTGCTAAAAAGCTATTTTTGTTTATTTTTGACCATTTTAATTGAAAAAAATCACAGTAAGGTACTTAATTGTTACCCAGAAATAATTTGATATTTAGATAAAAACAGCTGCATTGGACCTTTAACCCATCTCCTTCAAGAGAGTTTGCTCTGAAAACACACACAACACAACATACTACTAGCCTGGAATCCACAAAGGTGAAAGGGTACATCTCAGCTTGGTTTCAAGGCTAAGGACGGGTGTTGGAATGTGGAAATTAGCACAAGTTAATACAACACATCATCAGATGATTCATTATTTAAAATAAAATGGTAATCAATATAGCGAACAATCCTCAAATGAACACTAGAGGGGCCTGTCCACTCACAAATGAAGTCAGGCCACGAGAGGCAGCTCACCATATTCTCTGTAATTCTGCCTATGGCTGTGCTTACACAGGCAGCCAATTCTGATCTTTTGCCCTAATATTGGTATTTTGACCAATCAGATCTTTTGCCAATAATTGGGCAAAAATATTCAGAATTGGGCTGCCTGAGTAAACGCAGCCTTTGTGGCTTACTTCCGGTAGTATCATTTAGACACATAAAATGTCACGTTGAGATGCCAACAAAACGAGCAAGCAGTCACAGTGTTCAACGTGAGGTTAGTGTGACATGGAAATAAAGAAATGCCTAAATGTTGTTAAAGAAATTAGCTAATATCTTCTGTAAAAGTCAAAGGGTTGAATATTCAGTTACCTCATTGACATAAAATGACCTGAGCCATACATATCACCAAGCACAGGAGGTTGGTGCCACCTTAATTGGGGAGGATGGTCTCATGGTAATGACTGGAGCGGAATTAGTGGAATGGTATCAAATACATCAAACACATGGTTTCCATGTGTTTGATGCCATTCCATATGCTCCGTACCAGCCATTATTATGAGCCATCCTCCCCTCAGCAGCCTACAGACTGTCACCAAGCTATCTTCAAAGACCCTCAATCAATTTGATGCTCTGAAATACCAAGAGAAAATCTTTAACCTCAAAACCTTCATGAGAGAGGAAAGATGATGCATTATGGGTGCAAGACATGAGAAGAAATGGGAGCGCTACAGTGTGACAGTGTATTTTACCCATCATACATCCCACTGGATAAAATAAGGCAAAAGAGACATTTTAAACATCACAAAATGTCAGCTCGACCCACGTACTTTCTCACACTTTAATAATTGCTTTTGAGGGCCCAGATCCAATCAAACCTACATTAATATTAGTCTCCCAAGGCAGACGGATTGCCTCCCACAATGTATCCAATGCTGTTGCCTAGTGCCTAGGATCGGGTTTAGGAGACTACATTAATATAGTTATTGAATAGTACCTTTGTTTAACTACTGAATGCGCCTGGAAACACACATCTTATCAATCTCCATGACGACAGTCTCCCAGGTGTTTTTACAGTGACTTTTTAGACCACTGGGTCAAAACGAAACACCTAAGTGCATGTTTGATTGAATGGAGGCCTGAGTGACAGAGAGAGCACTCTGATAACATTGGTAAAGAAAGAACACAGAGACATTTAATTCATGTCCTTGATTCTTAGCTTATTACTTTCCAATCAGACACACAACAAATAAATAATTTTAAAAATCCAGTCTTAAGACACACCAACATAATATATAAGTACAGTGGGGAGAACAAGTATTTGATACACTGCCGATTTTGCAGGTTTTCCTACTTACAAAGCATGTAGAGGTCTGTAATTTTTTATCATAGGTACACTTTAACTGTGAGAGACGGAATCTAAAACAAAAATCCAGAAAATCACATTGTATGATTTTTAAGTAATTAATTTGCATTTTATTGCACGACATAAGTATTTGATACATCAGAAAAGCAGAACTTAATATTTTGTACAGAAACCTTTGTTTGCAATTACAGTGATCATACGTTTCCTGTAGGTCTTGACCAGGTTTGCACACACTGCAGCAGGGATTTTGGCCCACTCCTCCATACAGAACTTCTCCAGATCCTTCAGGTTTCGGGGCTGTCACTGGGCAATACGGACTTTCAGCTCCCTCCAAAGATTTTCTATTGGGTTCAGGTCGGAAGACTGGCTAGGCCACTCCAGGACCTTGAGATACTTCTTATGGAGCCACTCCTTAGTTGCCCTGGCTGTGTGTTTCGGGTCGTTGTCATGCTGGAAGACCCAGCCACGAACCATCTTCAATGCTCTTACTGAGGGAAGGAGGTTGTTGGCCAAGATCTTGCGATACATGGCCCCATCCATCCTCCCCCCAATACGGTGCAGTCGTCCTGTCCCCTTTACAGAAAAGCATCCCCAAAGAATGATGTTTCCACCTCCATGCTTCACGGTTGGGATGGTGTTCTTGGGGTTGTACTCATCCTTCTTCTTCCTCCAAACACGGCGAGTGGAGTTGAGACCAAAAAGCTCTATTTTTGTCTCATCAGACCACATCACCTTCTCCCATTCCTCCTCTGGATCATCCAGATGGTCATTGGCAAACTTTAGACGGGCCTGGACATGCGCTGGCTTGAGCAGGGGGACCTGACGGCGTAGTGTGTTACTAATGGTTTTCTTTGAGACTGTGGTCCCAGCTCTCTTCAGGTCATTGACCAGGTCCTGCCGTGTAGTTCTGGGCTGATCCCTCACCTTCCTCATGATCATTGATGCCCCACGAGGTGAGATCTTGCATGGAGCCCCAGACCGAGGGTGATTGACCGTCATCTTGAACTTCTTCCATTTTCTAATAATTGCGCCAACAGTTATTGCCTTCTCACCAAGCTGCTTGCCTATTGTCCTGTAGCCCATCCCAGCCTTGTGCAGGTCTACCATTTTTATCCCTGATGTCCTTACACAGCTCTCTGGTCTTAGCCATTGTGGAGAGGTGCAGTTAATACAGGTAATGAGTGGAGAACAGGAGGGCTTCTTAAAGAAAAACTAACAGGTCTGTGAGAGCCGGAATTCTTACTGGTTGGTAGGTGATCAAATACTTATGTCATGCAATAAAATGCAAATTAATTACTTAAAAATAATACAAGTGTACCTATGATAAAAATTACAGACCTCTACATGCTTTGTAAGTAGGAAAACCTGCAAAATCGGCAATGTATCAAATACTTGTTCTCCCCACTGTATACAGTGACAAACAATGCTACATGGTCGATGAGTTGAGGGAGAAATAGTTATCTGAGCAGTATGTACAGATATTGTAAAAATTCAAAGAAACCTTGCATAAAATAAAGCGTTCAAGTAAAGACCCACCAAGAAAACAAAGAAAGAAAACTCAGAAGTCAAATATTGCAGTGTTGTTATTGGATAAGAAAGATAACCTCTTATGGCTTCAAAATCTAAATATTCATATACTCCCATGTAGACTGATGTAGATACAGTTCTGATGGAGGAATCAGCTGCATACTCCCATGTAGACTGCTGTACATACAGTTCTGATGGAGGAATCAGCTGTATACTCCCATGTAGACTGTTGTACATACAGTTCTGATAGAGGAATCAGCTGTATACTCCCATGTAAACAATAAAAGCTGACTCACATCATGAATCTGACTCCATAAGCAGACATTATAGTGACATTTACAGTTGAAGTCGGAAGTTTACATACACTTAGGTTGGAGTCATTAAAACTCGTTTTTCAACCATTCCACAAATGTATTGTTAACAAACTATACTTTGTGCATGACACAAGTAATTTTTCCAACAATTGTTTACAGACAGATTATTTCACTTATAATTCACTGTATCACAATTCCAGTGGGTCAGAAGTTTACATACACTAAGTTGACTGTGCCTTTAAACAGCTTGGAAAATTCCAGAAAATTATGTCATGGCTTTAGAAGCTTCTGATAGGCTAATTTACATCATTTGAGTCAATCGGAGGTGTACCTGTGGATGTATTTCAAGGCATACCTTCAAACTCAGTGCCTCTTTGCTTGACATCATTGGAAAATCAAAAGAAATCAGCCAAGACCTCAGAAAAAAATTTGTAGACCTCC